TTCTCTTCTCTCCCTCCACCTAGTCTCAAGAGGAAAATCTCTCTGCGATTGGGTACTCAAGGTGTTGTCGGTCTCACTTTCCAGATGCGGTGGCACGGTCTCGCATTGTGTCGTGAAGAAATCGGCCTTTACCTTTGCTGGGATCTAGCCTTTGTCGCGTTCCCGATATGATCTCGAGTTAGGAGGCAAATTCGGATCTCACCATCCTGCTCCGACCAACTCGGAGGTGCTTCTCAACTGTTTAGGACGGCACTGAAGTTGCTTTGTTGGTTAGTTTGGTGATCCCAAAAGTTTAGATCTATAGGCCGAAAAAGGTTTCGTGTTTTTTTTTCCCTTAGGAATATGAGTGTGCTCATTAATTGAGTCTTGGATCCCTTTCGACTCAGTCATTCGGCGAGGTTAGTTTGTTTTTTAATGCGACCAGGTTCGGCATGAACCACGGTGAGGTGGTTGGCTGAGCTCAGCGGCTGCCTCAAGTTTGTTTCCCTTCGATCTTGTTTTCTTCAGTTAAAACATGTCCTTTTGTGTTTGCTAATATGTGGGTTTGGACAGTGCTATCTGTTTCCTACTGCTTGGATACCGAAGTATTAGTGTGGGTGGATTAGGATTGTTGGTTTTTCTTCGCTTTTGGAGGACCTTGTAAGGTTATACTGATCCCAAAGGTTTCTGTTGCGTTTTTCTTCGCTTTTGGAAGACCTTGTAAGGCTATAGAAACCCGATCCATAACATGACCATATGCCATTATGTTATCATTGCTTTGGGTAATAACATGGTATGTGATAACTGGGGGTGATATTTTATATTAACTATCAGATGTGTTCCCGTATCATTATGCTCGTCTGCTTCTTCTCTGCCACTACTTCCATTATGGTAATCTGCTTTTCTTTGAAGATAAACTTCGTTCCTACTCTTCCATAGGCTCCACATAATCCAAGGGAAGAGCTTCCATGACTCTGCTCGAAGAGAGTGTTCTTGTGGGATAGAAGTTGTCGTGCTGGAACAGAGCCCAAACAAGACTTGCACAGTGACATTTGAGAAACAGTCGCTCACTTCTAATTTCGTCTGTGACCGAGTCTCATTTCTTATTCCCAGCTAGGCATTTCAACGAACACGTAATGAACAAGCCAACGAAGCATACGACAATGGCTAAAAACCAATTGTGGGAAAACCAAATTGATTCAAATTACAACAATTTCTCAAAGCTGAATCAACAATTCCAGACGCAATCTATGCTAAGATCCATAAAATTCGAGAAAATAAAACTTAAGCAATGGAAACCTTAGCACCAGCTGCTTCGAGCTGTTTCTTGGCCTCTTCAGCTTCGTCCTTGGACGCACCTTCCTTAAACTTCTTCGGCAACCCTTCGATGAGCTCTTTAGCCTCCTTCAAGGCCAAGCTAGTCAAATTTCTGACCGCTTTAATCACTGCAATACGAGCATTGCTGGGGACTTCGTTGATGATAACATCGAATTCGGTCTGTTCCTCCACCACAGCCGCCGCACCACCGTCGGCCGGAGCTGCGACAGCCGCTGCAGCAGGAGCCAAAGAGAGCGGTGAGACACCGAACTTGTCCTGAAGGTAATCGACGAGGACGCGGGCTTCTTCGAGGGTAAGTGAAGAGATGTCAGATCCGATCTTCTCGATTTTCTCCGGAGCTTCGACGGCGGAGATAGGACGGAGGTGGGTTGCACGGTGGGTCAATGTGGAAGATGAAGCAGAACCAAGTCGAGACGGGAATTCGATTGCGACGGGTCGGGATGGGAAGCCATGGGCGGAAGGTGGAGTAAGATAAGATGAGGAACGGATTGTGGTGGCGATGGAAAGAGTCGTCGCTGCCATTTTCACTCTCTTTGGCTTCTTCGGATTTCTTTTGTGCGTCTCTGTGAGTTTGTTTGCTTAATTGCACGAG